ATTTCTCGCCGCGATACCCAGCACGGCCGTCATACTGATCCTGCTCCTCTATGCTGAGAACGTCGCAATAGCGCTATCCAAAGCCTCCGCAAGTTGACCAGTGCTCTGTTGCGCAATCGGGCGGGCGATGGCAGGGACCTTGCCGAGTAGGGTGTCACCGAGCGCGCCACTGCCAGTCTTTTGTTGCATAAGAGCATCCTTGACGACGGAACTGACACCGAGCTGATCGAACACGGGTTTCTTCTGCGAGAGGTCGCCGAGGGTAGTCTGGACCTGCGTGACGAGGTCGCCGGCAGTCTGCTGGAGGCCAAGTGCGCCAAAGAGACCAACGCTGTCGGCACCGTCGATCATGGATGTGGCCTTTGTGAGAGCATCTTGAGAACCTTGAGCCGCGGTCAGAACAGGAGCCACAGAGTTGGCGTCGTTGGCGGAGATTCCCTTGACGGCGGTGTCGAGCTTCTGGAGAGAGGTCTGGACCATGCCGAGAGCGGTGGTGATGGTATCCTTTTGGCGAGCGACGAGGAGAGGAGCAGCGGTGATCGCCCACGCCTGGAGGGCGACGAGAAGAACCTGGAAGCCGAGCATTTTCGAAAAAGTGAAGATATTAAGATAGTACTAAAAGGGGACGTTTGATGGAATACAGGATTCGGAGATCGTTGATAGGCAGAGATGAGCTTGAATAGTGGAGAGAACGACAACGACTTCCAAACCAAAATCGAAAATGGTGTGCGGCTCTTAGTTCAATTTTATCAATATCTGGGGTAGACTACCCAAGGCCTATTCAGCGTTTGTTTTCTCCCATCACTTTCCATTTCGGGACACAGTGGGGGGCGGTGAAGCTTTCCTGTGTTGAATGTGTGTGGTCTACAACTACTTTTCTCCTTCAGCCTTCCTCTTTGGGTTATGAGACGCAAAGGAGGTTCTTGGTGGTTCACCCTGACCGCATGGGGGTCCTAAAATGGTACTTGCTTGGGACGGCTTGACACGCTTGCGTCCATGTAGCTGTAGCCACAAACCGGCTCCGGGCGCCCACCAACCGCCACTGTCTAGGAGGGAGGGAAGCGTTATAACTCATCCGAGTTGTGGATTGCTCCTGATGCGTGGGATGACATGTCGATCTCGAAGGATCAACCCGGCATCATGGGGGGAGGTTGAGTGGGCTCGCTGAGCCGCCGTTGGCCCTACATCTGGCTTCCAGAGAACTATCGCGATAAGCTCATGAACGGGGTGCTTGGTGAACTGCGGGGTGAGCCAATGAACTCAAGCCTCTCGGAACTTTCCTAGCGTTTACCCCCATGGGTAATGTCTGTTCCTCCAAGGGGAAGCACAGGCACGACGATGATCAGCCCAGGCAAGCCGTTGGACTTTGGAGCCAGTATGGTTTTAGTATCAAAGCTGAAACGCTTTGTTGCGCGGACCGGCCGTCGTTCAGTCGAAACACCCAACAGAGTTGTGTTGGTGATGCGCCAATCGCAATTCACCAAAGCGCCCAATTAGCCAGTCATTGAGTAGTCATGTCAACTAAACGCCAGCAAGCTGCCAAACTGCCAGAAAAAACCTGACCGGATGGTCCCTCGGCAAGCCTTCACGATTATGACGCTCGTGATTGTTGGCTGCGCCTGTCAAGAAATGGGAAATGGGTGTAGCGTCCCGCCAAGCTGCCGGTTGCCGGTTTGGAACTCTCAGCCCTGCCCATTCGCACTCGCTTAATTGCCTTGACAAGCTGGCAGCCCAGCAACAGGTGGTCTTGACGGGGTCGACTCACCTGATATATGTTCAAACGGTCTGCCGGCCTTAGAAGTGGGCTTTCAACGGCTCTGTTCCGGACATCCCATTTATTACCTCATTAGGGTAGGCTTGGTATGTACGCTTGGATCGGGTAGCCTTCCCTTCCCATCAGGCAAGGGGGACCGGCATTTGTTCTGCGCCCTATGAAGAGCCATATGCGGCTTGGAAGATCAACCGGCACGGGTATCGAAAAGCTTATTGTCGGCGAACGGTTTGTAGATCAGGAGGCCTTGCAGCCTGCAGGACATCACACCAGCCTAGACGGGTAGTCTCATGCTAGAATGTGTGAAGAAGCCTGCAGAGACGGCGCCACTCATGCAGGCTTCGTGAGTCTTGGCTTCCCCTTAGCCCTCGCAGTTATGCACACAATGTGGAAATATCGAAGGTGTTTTCCCCCGGATCTTCATCTTCCACAATTGTGGTCATATTAGACGGCCTTTCCCACACGAGCTAGACGACTTTTAGTGTCAAACAAACGGCTCGGATCGGATGGCTTGCAAGGCCCCTTGCATTTGAAAACTGTAGCACAGCTTATATGGCAAGAAATGGTAAACTGTAGTTGATTCTCTGCACTTCGCTTGATAGAATTGTGATCCATCCTGCTGTTCTTGCTGAACTTATGAGAAAGCGATGTCTTGGCCAAGTGCTCCGACCGCTGGCCAAGGAGTGACGTGTCGAAAGGGTCTAGTTCTGACATGCGCTCGGAGGTATTTCTCGAAGCCAATAAGTGATACGAGCTTGTCCACAGCGCTGATAGCTCAGTTCTCTCTGAGCTGGGGGAGTATTGACAATTGTGAAGCAGCCAAATGGTTGAATATCATGTTGGCCTCAAGATTTATCGCCCAATAAACCCACTTGTCACTAACAAATCCCCGTCGGGGGACTGTCACTGATGGCCTCCCGTCGGGAGAGCCATCGGGTCATTCTTTCAAAGAACCTCTTGCCTCCCAGAAAGGCAGTGAATCGGGCCGATGAAGAGCAGAGGGCTCACATCATGAGGCTGACTGCACCCAGCCTTATCTTCTCCGTTTTAACGCTGTAGCCATATGGACGAAAGAGGAAATTGTACCCAAGCTGCCCATCACCCAAACTGTAACGCCGCCGCCCAGGCTTCTAACCTTCTCCCCTTCCGGTGACGCGAGAATTTTGACGTTATCTGCCCAGCGAGTCGTGTCAACTGAACCAAACACCCTGCGCTGGAGCTTTCCGAGCTTGACCTTTCCGATCTTGCACCCGTTCTGACAGGTCGATATCAAACGGCTCTCGGACGTTCCGAAAATCAAAATCGGCCTGACCCCATGTTCTTGGGTGTTTTCATTTTCCCCTACCTTGGCCTAGAGTCATCTCACCTAAACTTTCAGTCTTCCTTCTCTTGAGGAGCTTTCGACCGCAAGGATGGGTCAGAGGAAACCGACATCGAACTGATTGCATCCATCCTCAGGCAAGACAGGCGAGTCAACTCATGAAAAGCGGCTGCAGGTTCTGAATCATCGCATTCGCACAGCAACTGGGCCGCAACTTCTGGACCCGAAAGATGGTCCCTGATAGGTGTTTCTGCCGCCGCAGAGAAGCACGGAACTGTCCCAAGAGACACATCCACACTATCTGACACAGCCTCCGAGTCGCGTTGTCTGGCGTGTGGAGGTTGATGAAGCGGGTGAACCACGCGACCAATCAAATCAGCTCTGTCGGGACCAGGACCTGCCAGCCGGAAACTGGGCAGAAATATTCTCGACCCCGGTCCTGGGTCTTCAGACACAAAGGTTTACGAATAAAGAGGTGACTGGATGACGGGAGTTTCTCCCCAGAAGTTCAATGGATGCGTTGCTCTGCACCAAGGGGCAACTTTGTCGACTACCTTAGTTCCAACTTCGAAGCCTGCATGGATATGTGAGGTGCAAGAAGCAGTTCATAATACAACATGACAGGAAACGGTGCACTAAGAGTGGTCTCTGCAGAGTGGAGTGTTTTGCTGCCTTCTGCCTTTTCAACGGGCTACTTTTGACAGCTTGAATAATGCCGAAAATACCAGTCATCTTACCGAGTTAAGAGCTTGCATTTACCTTTCCTGTGCTTATCAAGATTAATCGTAAAGCCGCGATTTTCATAAGAGTACGGTTGATCCATAAGCAAGGCGAACAAACAGCGGCAGCAGTCGCAAAGAGTCAAAGTTCATGTTGCGAGCCCAGGGTACAAAGTGAATACAGTCCCAAGAGAGGAAATGAGGGGACTGTCAGATAAATTACGCTCCAACAACACGCATCGGCATGCGAACTCACTAGTTGAAGTCTACTCCCATAATACCAAAAACCGGTTTTGAGGGATACCAAGGATTTGGGGCTTCCAATAAGTCCTACCGCGAGTTTAAGCCTCTCTTTTGTTATGCTTTTCAGTAAACCTTCAACCGTCGCTAATCATTGCAAGAGTTTGTCCCGACTCCCCACAAACATAACTCTCAAAAGTTTGCAGGCCGTCAATTCATTCTCCATTCCATAACTCCCAGGTGCCAAAACCCCGTACAGATGCCCTTCTTCGCCATTACTCACACTCATCGTGAACTTTACTCTCCACAACCGGCCGACTACTTATCAACGCCTTTGCCGACGATAACCGGCACACAACTCTTCCCGCACACCGCATGTCCTCTCCACCGAGAGTTCCACAGAGACCCATTCTGACTATCCGAATGCATCCATATCTCCTCATCCGGGCCCCGACATGCATCAATAATCGGGCGCTTGGTCTAGGGGTATGATTTTCGCTTCGCATCTACGTCTGAGCTACATCGTGAGCTTCAGTTGCGCAATCTGTGAAAGGTCGTGGGTTCAATTCCCACAGTGTCCAGATATTTTGCCATGTTTGATCGTCAGGCATCGTTTTTGATGTTGGAGTGAAATTGAGTTGATTTGGACTCGTTGAAGTTTACTTCGTGCCCGATTTGAGGGTTCATGACGGTGAGCCTCAAGACTGCTTCAAAAGATTTGACCTTTTTGTCATCTTGAGTTCTTCCAAATTTTGTACGTTGTGGGGCGAGTCTGAGCCATGTACGTTAGTAGTAGCTCTTGCACTTACTGACTACCTCGTCGACTTCAAGTTGCTCAAAAGTCTTAGAAATAGAGAGATGATTGCCGTATTGATGGACTAAGGTCTATGGATTCTAGGGTACTCATTCGTGTTTCTGACATCCTCTTTCTATGAATTGCCTCCGTGGCTTACTGGATATTGGGTGAGGGCATTCCCGACGTGCTCAGATCATCCACGCACGCGTGGGGAATGTAGTCTTCAGAACAAGTGCTACGGCGTTGCTTCTTGTCTTTCGTAGGCTTGGATAGCACCATAGCCTGATAGACGGCGTCGGGCTCCGGCTCTGAGAGGCAATCCACACCAGGACCGCCAGTTCCCGCAGCTAGTCGGCTTGCACCAAGTTCTCCGGCAGCCTTTCCGGTAACCTCATTTTCAACTTCGGATGGCGCTGGTGCGCGGGTTGTACGGCTACTACTTGGTGAACTCTGAAACACAGAACTGATCTTTCGCGTGATCTGCTGCATGAATCCTGGCTCTGCTTTGCGAGTGTCTTGTACCAAAGGCTCTGCGAAATGAGCAGAGCGCCGCCTGGGATTCTTGGCTAATTGGCCTGATGCCTTGTTCTCGCTGCATGCGTGCGAGTCTGACAAGCCCTCGGAGCCTCGGTGAGAGGGTTTGGTTTTGACACTCGCAGGATCATCCAAGGGAAGATCTACCTCGTGGCTTGTAGGATGTTCGGAATCTCTATGAGGTGAGTCCTTACTGCTGGCTGCGACACTGCCAAGTCTCGCGTCAATTCCCAAATGATACATGTTGAACTTGTCTTTATCTTCATGTTCGAGAGTGGCAAGACTAGCCGGGGTGATCAGCCACTCATCCGTGCAGTGTCGCAGTGGCAGGCTAGGGAATGAAGTGATTGAAGAAGCTTCGTCATCGACGCTGGATTCTTTGACGTTTTCCTTTTGACGATCCAATTCACCTACGAGCTGAGAACCGAGCGAGAACCCATGGAAATCAGAGGAATCCGATACTCCATCAGAATCAGAAGCCCGACAGAGTGCCTCAATAATGCTAGACACAGTAAACTTGGAAGAGTTGGTCTGGCACACGGCAGACGTTGGTACTTCGGGGGCATCCGAAGCCGGTCCCCGGGCCTGACCAGATTGTTCTGCCAGCGTATTGGCGAGCCAGCGTATATCAGTGATACTGTCGCGTGAGACAATCGTGGTGATGGGTGCCGGTCGAGACACACTTCTTGACCGCACCTGACCATTAATGGCGCTTCGATTAAAGAAGGAGGTCTCGGGTTCGTTGATGGTGGTCGCTGTATCAGCTGCACGAGTAGACTATAGCTCAATGGCAGTCTTGAGGAAGCTTGGCTTCCTAGCCAGTTTTGTTTCGACCACAGTATTAGTTGCTTGCTGGGTTTTGATAGCATCCTCCATGGTTGTATTGTGCTTGCAAATTTCTTTGAAAACAATCTCCACGACGTCTTGTACTTGATCATCAGTGAGGACGTACTGGCATGAGGCTTGGTTGCATGGTGTCCCTCCATCGGTGTCGCTTGGAGAGATATTCGTCGTTCTTCGTTGACCAGCAAGACGAACCCGTACCTTTCCCATGATTTGCTGCATCAAGGTATTGGGCTTTCCCCAAATATTGGGACCAGACCTTCTCGGAGTGTCGGAGAGATGCTCGGATCGGGATGAGTGTCGGCCATGACGAGCATTGATGGAGCTGTGGCTGCCTGGAATATCGCGTCGGCCTCGTATGGGCATCGTCGTGGGGCCATGTTGAAGCTTGGAGGTCGAGACTGGACGTGATCTGTGGTTCGTTGTCCTTGATGATGAGTTCTGAGACTCGCCGGCAAGACACTCGTTTCCTGCGGCGACGTTGATTAGCAATCAGACTATGAGGTGCCTTAACAAATCATGCCTTGACCTAAAATACCTGACAGATTCCCCTTGGCGACTGCCTCTCCAGCGAACGGGGGCAGACAGTGGCTATGGGTTTGAGTTCTAGTCTGATCCATGCTCATGCATCTTGATGGCCGCCGGAAAACCGGACTAGCTTGAGGAGCCCACATCATGGTTTCGACATCTCCATTACTGAGCAAGCTGCAGTCTAGGGTAGTGGGCGGGCCCGGGGGCACGATGGATGGACGGCGGGCGAGATTTGGGTCTCTCTGCGTAGTGGTCGGATAGATGACGGTGCCATTGTGGCATGAGGGAACGAATACACCTGGTAGCTGAGTCACAATTGGAGATCTATTGACGGATAGACTGTGTTCTCGAGTCGATGGTGCGGTGCGAAACTCTTCGTCATCGAATTCCGAAGGGCCGTTCATGTTGAAATTGGCCGAAGGCTAGCAAGAGAATGGAGCAAAGTCATACGACAAATATGGAATAACACGAAGGGTCAAAAAGAGGAATAGGCAAGCAAATGCTCCGAGAAGAGAAGAAAGAAACGCCCCTGGTTGTCATCGATTTACGGTCAGACGTTGTTTGCTAGGATTATTGTCGTGGATGAAGCCGTACAGAGGTTAAGGTAGGTCGAAGGTGGACGCTATAGGAGACGAGGTTCGCGTGGGAACCTTGAATCACGGTGCTCAACAACATGTGAAAGAGCAGCCTATCGCAGCTTCCACATTCGGAGAGCATGTTCAGTCGTCACGCTGGAAGGAGCTACGCGAGTGTCACCGTGGGCAGTCGCCGCCCAGAGGCCAGTTCAGGGCTCCTTGGCACCTCATTCTCAAACGGATTGGATGTCGATAAGAAATAGGTATCCTTTTTCTTTGCAAATGGTTAAATGCGATAGGGATCAGTCATATGAGTTAGCTCAAAGCTGTGATGTTCAAAAAGAGTTCACCACCGGTGTGGCTACATCTCTTGGTGCTCACGCTGGGATCGTTTGCGGACTCGAACTCGTAGCCAATCGAGTAGGCTCTGGCGACAATTGTTAACCTTTGACCATTCCACCACCCAGCCAGTTTGACCTGACCAACCGACCTAGGAAGGCGGTGATCGGAATGGATTCGAAGGGACTTATATACATACTCAGTGAGTTGTTGGTGAGAATATCACAGAAGGAATGAGATGAGACGAACGGAAGTGAGATGACATAAGCAGGTAGATGTGGGGTCACCGTGCCACTGCACAGTGCTGGCACGTGAGCACGGCCCCTGGTGGAAAATACTCTGGACCAATTGAAATCCCTGCGCAACACAAAGGCAAAGGGTTTTCGAGGGGATCGGCAAAATCCTCTAGCAAAGGAGTTTACCTACTTTTTTTTTTTTTTTTAGAGTCCGTGAAGCTCCCGCTGCCATTCATTCTTTTTTTGGACGGGCAACGACGCTCAATCAGCGTCCCAAGTTTGCTCCTTTACGGCTCTCTCTCTCCCTGCGGTACGGTAATATCTAATGATGCTCCCGAGTGCTGCTCCGACTGCTTCTGATCCTGCTGGGCCTACCGACACCAGCAGCGCCTACACGAGGTTGCACATCTCTCCTTTCGACCAGGACCTCTTGAAAGTCGTTATTCCAGCTGCGATCTTGCCAAACGCCCGAAATATCTCTTTCCACACCATCGAAACCTTCCCCGACAAGCGCTACGGCTTCGTCGACGTGCCCGAGGCGGACGCTGAGAAGATCAAGAAGAGGCTGAACGGCGCCGTGCTGAAGGGCTCCAAGATGCGCATCGATAAGGCCCGCCCCGCCGAGGACTACATGCCTGTGGCCGAGAGCGAAGAGACTGGCAAGAAGCGAAAGAAGTCGTCCAAGGAAAAGGAGGAGAGGAAGAGGCAGAAGCGTGACGAGAATGTCCTTGAGGGCGTTGAGCTTCGCGATCGCAAGGTCAAGCGGGGTTGGACCGTTCCCGAGGAGGCCAAGATAAGGGAGAAGAAGAGCAAAAAGGAAAAGGGAGAGAAGAAGGAAAAGAAGGACAAGACAAAGAAGCGCGAAGAGCGCTCAAAGTACACGGACAGGGAGGAGTGTCTTCTCAAGACCAAGCTGCCCTCCAAGCAGCTCCCGGCGGCTGCCGATCCCGAGGACGAAGGCGATCGCAAGAAACGTAGGAAGAAGGCCAAGGAGGTGGTTATCCACGAATTCGAGAAGACGACAAAGTTCCCTACTTTCCTCAAGGCAGCGAAACCTGCGCCGACCGAGAACCTCACAACCGAGTTTGTTGAAGGGAAAGGATGGGTTGACACCCAAGGGAACCTGATTGAATCATCCAAGACTAGGAGAACGGCCACGGCACCTGTCCCCGAATCCAAGAGTCCCAAGCCACCGAAGAAGGTCAAGGCTCCTACGCCGCCGCCTGTGGATGATGATACGACGAGCAGCAGCGGAACATCGTCTGACGAGGACACTTCTTCAGACGATAGCTCAGATGAGGAGCCAGAGCCGGCCAAGGTCACGGAAAAGGTCAAGACTACGCCAAACGTCAAGGCGGCACCAGTGACACCTGCAAAGCAAACGCCAAAGGCTGCAGATGAGGAAGATACTAGCAGCGACTCATCATCGTCCGATGACGATAGCTCCGACTCGGACGAGGAGATAGTTGTCGAAACTATAAAGACTTCTGTCCCTGCCAACTTTGACAGTCCACTGTCCGCAATCAAAGCTGCTGATGCATCGCGGCCCAGATCTGCCGCTTCCAACGCCAGTCTTACCATCAAGATACCACCATCAACCCCGGCCCAGGTCCACCCCTTGGAAGCTCTCTACAAGCGCCCCAAGCAGGACGGCAAGGAGACTACCCAGCCCGCCGAAGAAGCTCAACCTTTCAGCTTCTTCGGTGGCGGCGGCGATGATATCGAAGAAGAGGATGACGTCGTAGCATCCAGCCAAATGCCCATGACCCCGTTCACCGCACAAGACGTCGAGTGGCGCAACGTTAGAAGCGCTGCACCCACGCCCGACACAGCGCACCCGAACCACACGAAGCCCTTCTGGGCTATTGGCCACGAAGGCGAAGAGGAAGAGGAGGACGACGAAGAGACCCGCGAGGAGATTGAGGCGACGTTGAACGCGGAGCGAAATGCCGACCCCGAGGGCAGCAGCGGGCCTGGCGGTGACTTTCAAAAGTGGTTCTGGGAGAACAGGAGAGACCTCAACCAGTCGTGGATGAAGCGCAGGAAATCGGCGGCCAAGGAGAGGCGCCATCGCGATAACAAGTCGCGCGCTTCCAAGGCTGTGTAGAGCATGAACAGGGACGGCAAATGCATAGCAAAGCATCTATAGAATCACAATGTCTTGAAATTCACCTGTCCTGGCCACTTCAATGTCCGACTGAGACCTGAACGTGGATAGGCTAATTCAGATAAACAGTACAGTAACTCTACCTTTCACCATTGGCAACTCGGCCTCCCGCTGCAAACAGAGCACGGAATCTGATCACAATCTGTTATCATTCGGCTCCTCTCCCCCTCCCCTTGCTCGCAGTTGGGGTAAGATAGGTAAGATAAGACAACCCCGGCTTCCCCCGCCTCCCGATGGGAGAAGATTCAGGGATTCAGGGAATAGCAGGGGAGGGATATCAAAAACTCCGTCAAAGTACATGTAAATAGCTTGGCGCCCGGAAAAGATCCGTCAGTTGACCAAGCCGTTTGGATCTCTTGGCCTCTTGGTCGACTCTCTTTCCAGCGAGGCACAGGGGCGCATTATATCGACCAAAGTTCAAGATCCGGCCTTTCGGACAATTCGCCGGCAAGGGTGAACACCAACATCGGGCTTGGCCCCGCTCTGCTCTGCTCCCGCCTTATCATCCCGCATCTCAACTTCTTGACCACCACAACCCCCGCCTCCTATCAACATCCTTCCCGGGTCGTCAGCTCGTCGGCAAACATGCGATGCGGCTTCGCGGCGTGTTCGATGGAACATCATAGCCACATCCCTGTCTTGTCTCGCTCTCCCCCCTCCAGCATCGAGTATCATTACCCGACGCGACGGTAATCTTTTCGCCTCCAAACTCTCGTCGTCAGAGATATCCTTCTCTTCATTGGTGTCTTATCGTCGTTAGTCAGACGTACAGTCTATTTTGACCGGACGTTGAAGATGCAATTGGACAAATACAAACTGCTTTCAAAGACCCACGCTACCCATCGTCCGATGCAGAATCACAGGGCCATCATGCATCAAATCACCCTGTCACTTTCCGTGTTGGTTGCCGTACTGCGGTAGTTCCCACCAGGATTAGCCACGCGGTCGGCTATTTTGCGCTCAATGGAAGCGATCGACCCTCTAGATCTTCTCTCTCTGCCTTGCTCTACCCTCTCCGCGGGAATCCTTATCTCGACTCTTCGACTGGAGGGAACTCAGGGAGGGGGGTTACGTTGCACTTCGGCAGTCGATATTGACAGCCGATATCCGTATCTACTGCACAGGCGCAATAGCACCGTCGCATTGATGCTCATATAATGTTCGTTCCTCCAGGCAAGCCGACAAGCTATGGCCATCTCTTAGGTCGTAGCAGGCAAGCCAATGTGAAAGAAGCCTTGATCGCCTCGTCGAGATTTCGTCGTGAATTCTAATCTTTCTCTCCTGCCCCTCCAACCTCGAGGTTCTCGCCCCGGTGAACCATCGCGAACATGGCCTCTCCTCAAGATATTGAGGCGCCCGCCGTGGATGAAAAGAAGATTGCAATCGTCTCGGACCAGGACCAATCCGACACCACCAGCGAGCGCAATGGCGAGACCGATCTCGGTGAGATTTACATCTTTCTGTCGCTGCCCACGACGGGCTATATCGCAGGCCGAAAGACCTCTGATGCTAACGATAATGATACAGTCGCCGTGGAAGGCCAGTACACAAAGGAGGAATACCACAAGCTCAAGAGAAAGGTCGACAAGTACCTCCTCCCCCTCATGTGGATATGCTACGGCATCCAGCAAACCGACAAGACGGCGCTCGGTACCCAAGCCATCTTTGGTCTCCGTCAAGACACAGGACTCAAGGGCCAAGAGTACAGCTGGCTCACAACAATCTTCTGTACGTTCCATCACACATCACGACCTTCATCTCCACAAACAACATGATTCTAACGAAACCCCCTCCACAATGCAGACATCACATACATGTGCTTCGAATTCCCAAGCAACATCGTCCTCCAACGCTACAAAATGGGCCGCACCCTCTCCGTCTACATGATCTGCTGGGGCATCATCGTCCTCTGCATCGGCTTCGCCCAGAACTTCACCCACCTCATCGTCCTCCGCGCGCTGCAGGGCGCCTTCGAGTGCTGCATCTCGCCCGGCTTCATGTTGCTGGTCGGCACGTGGTACAAGACGCGCGAGCATGCGTCACGGTCTCTTGTCTTTCAGAGCGCGAATGCTGGGTTTGGTGTGATTGCCTCGCTCATCATGTACGCTATCGGCGCGTCGACGCAGCATAAGGAGGGGGCTCAGCCGTGGCGGTATATTTCGTTTGTGAGTTGCTCGAGGCCTGGTGTACCTCTCAAAGACGGTTGGGGACCGCATTGCTAACATGCATTTTAGTTCTTGGGCAGCTTGACAACTGCCATTGGATGCCTCTGCCTCTTCCTCCTCGGCACGCCGTCCGAGGTGAGGTGGTTGACGCAGGCTGAGAAGGACATGGTAAGAAACCTCTTGTATCTCTCAACATGTCCCCTACTGACGCATCCTAGGCGAGCGCCCGCATCATCTCAAACAATACCGGCCACGATCGCACCGCCATCAAGGGGTGGAAGTGGAAGCAGGTTGGCGAATGCTGCCGCGACCCCATCTTCTGGTTCGCTGGCGTGAATGCCTTCCTGAGCTCCGTCCCCAACGGTGGTCTCACTACCTTTGGCAGCATCATCATGACTTCCTTTGGCTTCAGTATGTCTTTCACCAAATCTTCTCTCTTAAGCTACATGATACCACAATCCATGCTGAACTTTTTTCCCCTACAGACAACCTCCAGACCATCCTCATCGACATCCCCCGCTCTGTAATGTCCGTCATAATCTTCATCGGCGTCGGCCTCCTCACCAGCAAAAAAGCCAACCTCCGCCTCTGGATCATGGCAACCTCCGTCCTGCCCCCCTTCGCAGGCTTCCTCGGCATGTCCCTCCTCCCCAACGACCCGGCAATCAAGTGGACCAAATGGGGCTGCTACTTCATCACCGTGCCCTTCGTCCTCGGCCTCTTCCTCGCCTGGACCCTGATCCCGAGCAACATCGCCGGCCGCACCAAGCGCACCATGACCTCTAGCTTCACCTTTGTCGGGTACTGCGTGGGCAACATGGTCGGCAGCCAGGTCTTCAAGGCGCAGGATGCGCCAAAGTATACCCCTGGAACGATTGGGTGCGCGATTTGCTTTGGGATTCAGTTTGCGTTGATCTTGACGTGGCGGTTTGTGTTGGTGAGTAGGAATAAGCAGAGGGATGCTGCTATGGCTGTTGATGGGTTGACAGTGGAGGAGAGGGCGAAGAGGGGTAAGGAGCTTGGGGAGCAGGACTATACTGATTTTGAGAACCCTTACGTGAGTACTTTCGATGTGGTTCGTTGTGGTATTTTTACTAACGTCAGATCTGCAGTTCCGTTACACACTCTAGAATACCTTTGGGAAAAAAACACAGTTCAATGGATTGGGGCTTCTTTTGCGTCAAAGAGATCATAATGAAACGATACATTGAGGGTAGAAAGTAGAGTAACGGTAACGAAGGGTATAGTACGAATCCCACCACAGTATACCAACGAAGACATGATAGACGTTCACCAACATTACATCCTTGCACAACTATCCCCTGACCAATGTCGAGATGGCACATCTGCCACACTCTTGAACCCACAATCCTCCCAGACGGTAACCCACCGTACGAATAATCATCGAAGTTCCCCTCGCTAGATAACAACCTACTCCCCACGAGGCACCCCCTCCGAGTTCTCATCATGATACAAATCAGGACACTTCGCCCCCTTCTTCTGGAAGACCCACCTCTTAATCCACCAAGGCAACACAGTCTTGACCTGGTACGCAGCGTGCTTCCGCTCCGGCACGCCAAAGACGTAATCAAGCTCCTCGAGCGACTTTTGCTTCGTCTCCGGCACGAACAGGAAGATGAGCGCGAGGGCGACGAGGTTCAGACCCGCGTAAAAGCAAAACACACCGGTGGATGTCATGGCGATCAGCATACGCGGCAAGGTGAGGGAGAGCACGGACGCCCAGAAGTTGTTGGTTGCCACGGCCCAGGACATGCCGATTTCGCGGTGGGAGAGGGGGAAGACTTCGGCGGAGTACATGAAGGGGACAGGGCCCTCGCCTGTTCTGAGGTGTTAGTGGGCTTCGTACGATTTAGCAATGGTGAGGTTTGGAAATTGCTTACCTGGGGAATAGAATGCTGCAAAGAGGTAGACGAACGTCGCGACGGCGGCGATTCGAGCGGTACTGTCGCTGATGAGGTAGCAGAGTCCAGCAGCTACATGACCATGTTAGCACTCATACGCAACTACTTGTTCGCATGAAGACACGACGTACTGAGAAGAGTCCAAAACATGTTTGGGAATGTGAACAACAAGAGAGTTCTCCGACCAAACGTATCAATCGTCCAAACGGCTGGCCAGGCGAAGGTGAAGTTGATCAGACCAAAGCCGAAACTGGCCCAGAGTGCGGTGTAGTCGCTAATACCACTCTGCTTAAAGATGGTCGCGCTGTAGAACGAAATGATGTTGACTGGAAAAGCATGTTAGTCCTCTGTGCCTTGTGAATTATGGCCATCTTTGGGTAGCACCCACTTCCACACATCTGCTGCGCAATCATGACAATACCAGAAGCCCACGTCGCGCGCCTAATCCGAGCAATTGTGAACAACTCAACAAAGCGCGTGAACATGTTGCTCGTGACCTTGAGCCCAGACTCCTTGATCATAGTCTCCTCGTACTCCAGAAGCGAGTGGATGTAGTACAGATCCCTCGCCGCCTGGAGCTCCGTATTACGCAAGCGCTTCAGCGATCCCCACGCCTTGAGATGCCTACCCTTCTTGAGGTACCATCGAGGCGACTCGGGGCAGAAGTAGGTTCCGATGACGAGCGGGACGGCCGGGATGAAGGCGGAGCCGAATTGGAGGCGCCAAGCAATGTCGCCCGTCTTACCGACGATGAGGTTGGCGCATGTGCCAAGGAAGATACCTTGCTAGGGATTAGCATTCTTGAACGGTAGTATGCCAAGCAAACCACCAAGAGATCGGCGAGAGTCAAGATTTCTTGGTGTTGCTTGGGAAGGGGGGGCTTGTGATTGAGGCTCACCGAACGCAGTCCAGACCTGCCAAGACATTACCAAGCCGCCACGGATAAGAGTGGGGGAGTTTTCGGCGGAGAAGACGGGGACTGTGACTTCTTTCAAACCCATGCCGATGCCAAGCAACATTCTGTGCATACAACAGTTAGTATCACGATGTCGCGGGTGGGCGTTGAATTGGGGGTTCTATCTTACCTGCAAGCTGCGAGCTGTCCCCATGTCTGCGATACAGCCATACCAAAGGGCGCAAGCAGCGAAAAGATGGCAGCGATGAAGATAACACCTCGTCGACCGAGTAAATCATTGAGAGGATCCGAGATCCAGCCAGCACTGTTCGCAATCAATCAGTACATCTCTCACTCGTCTTATGCTGCACAATCCTATACTCACAACAGACAGATCGTGATGTAAGGCATGGAATTCACAAGGCCGATAATCCAGCTGTTCTTCGCGCAATCGCCCTCGTTGGCGACCGGCCCGCAGGACGAACCCGCCGTGTCAGGGATGCCGAGCGCAGTGGGAAACGACAAATTGGCGCCATTAGACCCGGTCTGGTGCAGCGCCGTTAGGAAAGCTAAGCTCCCGGGAGATCATGTGGAATTTGCGGGGAACCCGAGCGGGAAAAGGTGGATAATGGGTAACAAGAGGGGAAGAAGATGGACATGGCATGGTGAGGGGGTGAGCGAAGGATTCGACCGTTGCTTGGCTTACCTGGTCCCATCCTTGGATAGCCGCCGCGATAGAATTGAGAATGATGGTGTAATACAGAGCCCAGGGGTGCTTCCAACGGTGCGTCACCTCCTGGCGCAGCGCGTCCCTCTCGGCTTCGTCGAGCTCCTCGATGGACTCGAAGAGCGCCGGGTTCTGCGCGACGAGGGCGCCCTTTTTCAGCAGCGGGAGGATGTCTTCGGGCAGGTCGTGCTTTTTGTGGTATGCTGTTACCTGCTCGAGGAGTTGTGCTTTGGGGATGCCTTTGAGGGGGTTCTTGATCTCGCCCTCGAGGTTCTGGGTGAGTTCCGCGATGGACTTTTTGCGTTCGTCGTGGTGCTCGACGCCGTCTTTATGGATCCTGGAGCTTGTGTAAGTTGCGTCGCGGAGAAACTTTACGCGGGAATGGTGGGTGCGGTCAGGCTAGGCTGGATGCTACGTACGGTGATTCCGTCTCGATTCTCTTCTCTGGTTCCGCCATGATGGACGTGATTTACGATGAAGAATTCCTGTACAAGGCTGGAATGAAGCTGTGCGCTCGAGAAAGTGGCTGCCGTGAGTGAGGCAGTTGCACCGTGCCGCTCGACAGCTTCAAGCCGTCCGAAGGGAGGGGGTTCAGATTAAATATCCAGAATTACCCGTCCAACGTCTGAGGGGCCGTCCCTGTCATCTGAATCACCCTGTCTCATCAACAGCATGTATTTCAAGGTAGCGGGCGTCGGCTGAGCACGTAGCCGGGGTGTTGGTTGGGTTGGTGGGAGCAAGGACACAACGGGAGGGCATACTTTCGAGAGGGAGGGTAGTGAACGGGCATGGTCGTATGAGTTGTACATCATTGCAACATCTCCCATTGCATCCCGGCCACTGAGGCAGACCAGTGAAGCAAAGTCATTGAAACAAAGCCTGGCTAGCCAGGCCATCAGGTTTGGCTGGCGACGCCTCTAATCTTAGGGAATTGAGATGCGAGCGCCCCGAATCGGCCTAACGCTGCTACAGCTCCCTTCGAACTTATGCGGGGTCACAACAGGCGCGACATGCTATTTAATGCAGCTTATGCTGTAAAAAGCTGCAATGGCCTGTCCGTCTGGCCATTGAGGGAGTAGTTCACCTTGCTCTCGTTGGTCGCGTGGCACATGAGGGGATGTCTCTTCCTCCTGTAGCGGGAAAAGCTTAGAGAAGCTTGGTCTGCGACAAAGTACCGGAATGTCAATTGAGCAGAAATGTTTGGGAAGCTCTCTTCAGCCAATAATATGTCGATCCTTTTGTTCTATGAGGGATGGTGGGAGTGGGATGACGATTGCTACCACGTTGGGACTTTGAGCAAGCGTATGTGGCGCACCCTCCGGAAAGACGCCTTGTACGACCGGGGTCGAATCTGGGGACGCCCCGGGATCTGACCGCACGCACCAAAGTTCTTATTTAGTAGTACTGTCACTGTCACACAGTCAGACAGCCTGGGAAGGGTGAGACAAGCCAGACAAATACTCTCCAAGTTTGCCAAGGCTGAATTCGGTAGGGTTGGGTGATGGACGGCGATCTCCGCCTGAATAGCACCAGAAGGCTCTATCCTTTTGGTTATTTACAGTGAGGCTTGTACGGCAGGATCTTGCAGCCTGTATCACCCCACATGCCGAGAGCGCATGGCACACAGTGTTGTGAAGTCCTTCGCAGTTTGGTAAGAAATGAAGTTTGAATAAGTACTGAGCCATCTTTAACTTTAATGTCACCTAGAAGAACTACCTTATTGAAGGAAAATAGGCAAGTTTCAAAGTGGAACATCCTAGATAATCCAAAGCTTATCGATGTAGACTTGTCAGGCACCATTGCCCAGACGGCAGCTGGATTCTAGGAACAATTGATCGACATACGCAATTCGCCGATTTGCAAGTCTTCATCTCATTCTGTGTGATCGGATGAAACGTTCTTCAGTAATACTCTACTACCACCTTTTTAGACCTTCGGTCTCGGTAACGACTAGTTTAACTTCATTGTCGTCTTTACAACCTTTCAAAGTTCGCGGCCGGGAAGCTAAGTCAACTTACATCTGATTTTCGTATCAATACGACAAGCACAAACGCTAGGTATGCTATCATCGATCTAAGAAGTAATTCCGTATATGTTGATAGCCGCTTATAGATATATATACCGCGAAACTAGCGATACCGAAAAGTCTGCTCTACCTGGAGTATGGCCTGAATAGCTTCCTGCCTTGCATCCATACGCATGCACATTGATGAGTCAATTGAGGTTAACGAAAACGACATCGCCGACTACATGAGTCGATGAGTATCTCCATGCGGCACGAGGCCTCATTCAAGGGCAATAAACCTGCCTTATGAAGTCTTAAGCCAATGAAGACACGAATTCTGATACCCGTACACGCATCGCAAGATTCTAAGAAAGCCAAAGGACTTGCATACCAATAACAACGAGCAGCTCGGAATTGCCCTAAGCGCCAAGGGATCTTGATGCATCAAAGCTTGGAAGTAAAACATCTCATGTTCTCCGTTCAACGCAATACCCGCCAGCCACCACCCGCAAAACGATCTTAACTCGAATTTCGAAGAAAGAAGAGAGAAGGAATGCTATTACGTGACATAACCCCACTACCCTCCCGCCAAATTGCTCATCCCCGGAACCAAATGCCGCGGGAATCCGTGATGCGTAGTAAGAGCACCCATAGTGGAGAATAAACGGTTGGACGGATATCAAGACGGACATAGCAAAGGAGGGGCCAGCAGCGCTTGGCTCCACTCCGAACCTTCCGGGCAGCTCCCGGATCCCGAGGTTCCCGCCCAACACTGTTGCTGCCTTCGATGGCGTGCATGCATGCATTTGCTGAATAAGCACAGGATGTCTGACACTTTTGAGTTTTGCGATAAACAACTGCACATCTTCTCCAAAATTCTCTATCAATATTCAAAGAAGTTGTGTATGAGATGGCTGCTTCAGCGCCTGCTTTCAAGCAGGCATTCTCAACGCAGCGAATCTGTCTCCTCATCGGCTTCTTGATATGCTCCACCATCGCCGGGCCGGGGATCGGCGCGGATCTCCGGTGTCCCGATTACGTCATCCAGCACGGTAAGTCAGTCAGGTATTCGATGCTGGCATATTACCTTGGAAAGCTATGGTTGGCGTTCGAGTTCGAGAGAGATCTAATATGACATGTAGCGCCTCTCATCTGGCTTCACTCTGACGACCCATACATGCCTAGCGACCTCTTGACGCACATCCAACACACTTCCCCGGCACTAGACGGAAAGACTATTCCGGATATCCCAACTCTCGACCTGGACAACTTGGAGTCACTCAACAATTTTGGAGACGAAGTAGCTCTGACCTCGAAGGATGATCCACTGAGCTACCCGGAATGGATTCATGGTGCCATTCCCGACGCCGATGGCAGGATCAGCAATGCCACACCATGCGTTGTGGTTCTCGTCGAGAAGGGAGAGCGAGACCTGGATGCTTTTTACTTCTACTTCTACTCATTCAACGAGGGCATGAACATCAGCCAAGTTTTAGAACCATTCAACCGGATGGTCAAGGGCGAGAAGGCGCAGTCAGGGATGCACTTCGGTGATCATGTTGGGGACTGGGAGCATAACATGATTCGCTTCAGAGATGGGAAACCGACAGGAATCTACTACAGTCAGCACGTCGATGGCGCCTCTTTCAAGTGGGACGATTCGGCTCTCACAAAGACCGACGGGAGGGTTAGTGGCCCTAGTCTCTCAGTCAATGACAAGGAGATATGCTAACTTTGGAAAGCCTATTGTGTATAGCGCACGCGGATCGCATGCCAATTATCCAACCAGGGGGTAAGTTTTGTGTTTTCTTAAGTGAACACAAGGACTAGACTAACCCATTAATTAGGAATCAAATACACAACTCTGTCTTGGTCGACTACTGCGACGAAGGAAGAAGATGGGACCCCATTCTCTCAGCATATTTCTACCACTTCGATAAAGAATCCTTCACGGTCACCAGACTAGATCCACCAGCCGATTCATCCCCAGCTCCAGCACCTTCCTCGAACTTGACATCCTTCTTCTACTACTCCGGTCGATGGGGAGACATAGCGTACCCAGCGTCCGATCCCCGCCAGGAGATCGTCCCGAAGTTCGGTCTTAAGAGGTTTGAGTCTGGCCCGACTGGCCCACGACACAAGCATCTTGTCCGAAAGGGCTTGAAGCCAGACCAGAGGCGCAAAATGGGATGGATGGAGTGGGGCGTCGGCATTTACATGTCCTTATACCCGTGTTGCCTGAGAGGATGGAGGAGATGGGTCTTCATGGGGCTGATCATCGCAGTGCTATCGGGAGCTGTCATTGGGGCAGTCGTGGCTGTGAAGAAGTATAGAAACAGGAAGTATACGAGGTTACAGGCGGAGGATATACCACTAGACGACTGGGCTCTGGAAGATGAAGCACTGCTGTCTTCAACTGACGAGGAAGATGTGGATAAACCATCCAAGTTTACTAAGCGACATTGAGACGATAGACTTGCTCTACATTGATCAACCATTTTGGATGCCCGTGTACGAGTCCTGATTTGAATGGGACCTATCATCCGTGTTTCCGTCACAGCTACCTTCCAGAAGCTTGACAATACGAGCCACATCCTCCAGCCTCCATGGGAAAACGTACTTCTTGGAATTGGCTCGGGCATATCGATCAGGCCGTTTCGCCCACCAGCAAGGTGGTCTGTTTTGGTTATCGCACAGGTTTGCGTCCGCGCGCGCATTGAGTAAGTACCCTATAACGTCATCATGCCATTCCTCGGCCGCATAACTCAACGCTGTGCGACCAAGGATGTCTTGGGCGTTGACTTCTGCTCCAAACTCAATCAGAGCTTTAACGGCCTCCGCTAGGCCATACATGGCCGCGTATATCAAGGCTGTTCTCCCATACATGTCTCGGAGAGTAAAGTCCGCGCCGTAATCCAGTAAAAGCAATGTGGCCTTGCTTGCCTTCTTCTTTGTCATTTTGACTTTTTTCTCAGACAGAGGACGCCTTGTGACTTTTGCACGAAACTGAACTTGTGTTGCCATCATAAGTGGAGTCCGGCCTCGATTATCAATCGAGTTGATGTTGACTGCTTCGGTCTCCAGCAGGCTATTGATATTTTCGCAGCAGTAGATTTCTGCGCTGTAAGACAACGGACTCCGATTCTGCTTATCAAGTCCATCCGCTTCAAGCTCGAGATCGTACAGTAGATAGGACAGAGTTTCGACATTCTCGGGTCTGCTCGCCGCCCAACTGACGGGAGACCTACCACCACGATCGCTCTTGGCGAAGTCAACTTGAAGAGTTTCCACAAGATATTCCATCAGGTCAAGGCGATCATTCTCCGGAAAGCTCGGACGGAGTTCATTATTGTCCATTGGATTTGCAAGGTGACAAAACTGAGTTCGCCAAGTCTTTGAATCTGAAGAACCGAAGTCAAACCGTTTGTCGCTCAAGAGGAAGTCAATAGTCTCCAAATTACCCCACTTGATGGAATGTGTCACCAAGTCGGCAAAGTCAGCTGAGGTCCAGCCGATAAAAGGTCGTTTGTCGGCAAGGAGAATTTCGACGAATTCCAGGTTATGTGCTGCGATGGCGTAATGTATCGGTGTCCAATTCCGGCGTATATAACAACGAGTGGTGAGGCTTGTTCTCGGGTCCTGCAGCAAAGCATGCGCCGCATCGTTGTGCTTATGGGCTATCGCTACTGACAGAGGCGTACTGTGACCACCGTTGAGTGCGATATCTCCATATTCAACGTCCTCGTAATATGCAAGGAGAAGACGCACAGTATGTGCCTGCCCAGCCCAAGCTGCCCACCATAATGCGGTCGTTCCTTTCCAGTCAACCCGTCGTCCAGCCTTAGGGTCCTCAGTTAACAGTTTGGAGGCCGCCCAGTCGAACTTATTGATGATTATGTTGAACAAGGGACATTCTCTCGCGTTGCCAATGTACACGCAATCTGATGCTAGGCTGTCGAATCCTGTGTCGAAACGACCTTTTGGGTGGTGGTATGCGCGGACTACGTGCCGATCTAGAAAAGAGGATTTGACCCCAGGGACGTCTGATTTACAGAGATATACTACTTCGTCTGCAAATGAATCGAAATCCTCACCCTCAAGCGCCTTGAAGTGATCAAGCCCGTACCACACAGCGTACCTCTCAAAGTGGACCCAACTCTCGTCAGTCCTGTCCCAGCTCAAAGCCACTGTGTGTTCCCCTCTGGATATTGCAGCGTTTCTGATACAAAGGAGCCAAACGCATGCCTTCGCCATGACGATAGATGACTCTCGTAGTGTAATGGAGTGTAGCCAAGTCATCTTAGGCCATTCGGCATTCCTATCAAATCCCACCTGCTCAGAACCCTTAGTAAGGAACGTTCTTGCAGTTTCGTGGAGGAGGTAAACCCTGCCACCAACAATAGTCACGAATAGGCCGCAAACTTGTCTCAAATACGACCGATTTCGAGTGGCTGGTTCTCCGCGAATCTCCGAAAGGCTCTTGTGCTCCTTTTTGATGCACAATGCTGTCGACATTTCTTCTAGGGTCAATGGCTTAAACGCCCCAATGATGATTTGTAGAACCTTTCGGGCTTGTTCCTTGTTTGGACTTCGATCGAGAATCTTTTCGTATAATCCATCTAGTTTTTCGGGCACGCTACTCAAGACACTTTGAATAGATTCTTTCGTTGGAGACTCGAGGCGGTTTTCAACGAAATCCAGTGCGAGCTTGACCCATAGATATGTTCGGTGGTCTGAGTTCGACAAGCTTTGCTCCAGTAACTCAACTTCATGAGGTTCCAGTAGTTGAACTTCGGCAATACTTTTTACTCTGTGACGAATGACGACGCCAATCTCGCCGGAGATCCTTTTCAGTTGCGACTCATCGTCGCCCCTTAAATGAATAGTCGGTGTTGATGTCTCAAGCTTTTGTAGGCTTCGCTGAATCTGGATATATGGCCTAGACGTGATGATGAACTTAAGGCGGCTTCCCTCATTGGGCTTCATGTAGAATTTTGTCAGTGCAGACGTGATCTGTCGACAATCCTGGGCGTTGCATTCATCAAGAGCATCGAAAAGGCAAATTAACTCAGTCTCGACTCTTATGGAGATCTCAAGTAGTATCTCGAAGAGACTTGGAAACGAGTCAGATAAGTTGTTGCCGGCCGCCTCGAACTTTGTCACAGTCTCCTCGTCCATCAAGTCGGGGGTTTGCTCGAAGATCTGTCGCAGAATGCAACGCATAGCAATGGAAGCACGTTTCTGATCCTCAAAGTCGTCTTTGAAAAAGAAGTAGCAAGTCGTTCGGACCGAGGTACTTGGAAGAACATCATCTACCAAGTATTTCGAGAGCACTGACTTGCCGCAGCCAGGATCTGCCGAAACTCGCAAGATCCTCGAGTCCGCTGCAGACATCCAATCGCGAAAGTATTCATGCTCAGTGAACCACTCGCAAGTCCCTGGTGCTCTTTCTGGATTGATATCTTTTCGATCGCGGTAAGGGCAGGCGTACAGATTTCGCAGAAGCTCTGTCCTTCTTCGCATAAGATCGAATGAGACGGTTTGTGGCGTATTGACATTGATTATTGCTTGTTCAACTTTCCGAGAATGAGATTCTAGAAATGTGAGAATCTTTTCATCGGTAATGAGGTTTGCGACAGCTCGGCAGTTGGCATCGAGCCTTTCGATCTCTTCAACGAGGTCCTTCCACGTATTGCCTCTGAACATGTCTCTGATAAACCGAGTTGATCGGCTTCGGTGAAGGTAACATAATGCTCTGGCCTGGAACTCTATGGTATTCGTGTAAAGATTGATTAAATTCTTTTCCAAGTCCAGTTCAAGCTTTCTGGCCGACTCCGCTGATAGACTCTCGAGGCGTGCCCTCGAGCGGTAGACCTGCTCCATGGCAAAGTATCGGCAGATAAGAGAAGAGGTCAGTTCGAGACCTCGGAGGATATGTTCTCTCTGCTCTATGGGACGGACTAGGAACTGCTTGGAAGTTAGTTTTGCAGCATAGAAATCGACTACTTCGTGCATATTGGGGGGCTAGAACGAACTGTAAGGATAACCAGTCCACCAGCGCATGCAAGAGCGGCGTGAGGCTCAGCACCAGCAGCACTGCTGATGAGATCCCTTGCGGCGACGATGTGTTTCGACACATTTTTAAACATGGGCTCAATGGCAAGCTCACGACTTCCAATGGAAATGGTCAACCGCTCTTGGCTCAGCTCCTCCACCTTCACATTCAAGCTCTCGGCGACTTCTTCGTGTTTAAGATGACCCGGATCTTGAGCTTCGGGACTATCTCTAGGCTCGCAGAGCTCTGAAGCTAGTATCTCAGCATAATGCTTGACGAGATCCCTCTTGACTGGATCAGGATCATTCTGTAGAGCTTCAGTTGCCTTCTTCCAAAGATTTGTCAAGGCCGAGCTGGTGTGTTCAGGTTGTGTCGAAGATAACTTTGTTGGAGTGGTGTCTCTGGTGCTGTCAACTTGGGTTTCCACACCGGCTGGTATTGTAGGTTTCTCAAGCAGACGCGAATGGACAGAGGCCTGACTTGGATTGATCAGAGAAGCATTCGAGGATGCGATTGAGGACAATCCAGGGTTCGCCACTACAGCGTCATTCTTCACTCTCCCCTTGCGTCTCAGCCTCTCGAATAAAGTCAGTGACTTCATTTCTTTGAGGTTCTAGCGATTGCGCAGACCTCGTCGAAAGACGGCACCGGAACAAATCTGGTGTATGTTGGGGGAAAAGATGTCTTGCGTCTTATGAGATGAGTTGGGAGAAGGAGAGACAGACGATGGGATAGCTAGATGAGGGGGGGGGACAAGAACAACCTGGAAGACTGCGCATCTGTATGAAAAAGGCAACCAACAGGCGAGGTGCAGATAGCCAACCGACAGCCAATCAAGTCTATGCAGCGAGCCATCCGACTGCCTCAGCATGCAACGCAACCGCCAACATTACCTTGGCATGACAAGCTGGTGAAAATAACAAGTTGCAGGGTCCGGTGTTTACCGTCCATTGGTTGAATGTGGTGCAGCATGTGTGCTTATCACGCAGGCCGTCTCATTCTGGGGCAACATGAGCGGATCAGGAAGCGGAACGATGATCGCAACTATGCACCAACAAGCTCACGAGAGAGGCGGCGCGAGGCGAAAGATGCACAAGCGTTTGAAAGTCATGTCTGAATGCCTTGCCTAGAGCTTATTGAACCATATTCCTACATCAAAACCTTGAGTAAACCGAAACCGTCTCCATCTCCACGCGGTAAAGGGTATCTTCACAAATCAATCGCCGTCCCATGTTCCATCCAGACTCCCATGTCAAAAATTCCATGTCCTTTCCCGAGTCGGAACGCCCAAAACACTGCAGACTGGCTCCTCAAATATACTTCATGATGGGAATTCTGCCGTAAGGTTGCATCCGGAACTCGCACCGATCCTAGCAGCTCGATCCCTGGTTGCTCGCCTGGAGGTTCGCAGCAGCCGCAGGGACGACAGCCGTCATGGAGCTAGTGCGGGAGTTTCCGACCGCCGCGGCGTCAACGTTCTGCCAAGCTGTGTCGTTGGAATCCTGGATTCCCTGAGGAGAGGTGCCGCTGGCTGAGAGGTAGACGCTGCTGGTGTCCTGGGGCATAGCCGGAGCGAAAGGGTCGAATACGGCGGGCGGCTGGGTGATCTGGCCGACAACGGTTCCATCGGAACTCTTCTCGGACTCTTCGGTCGAGCTGCCTGCATGAGCTTGCTCATTTGCAAGGGCGGCAGCAATCTGACGGCGATGAGCGATCTCGGCAGCGTCGGCAGGCAGGTGAAGATGACCCTCATGAGAGAGCTTGGGGAAGGTAGTGGAGCGGACTCGTTTCTCGTCGTCAATAAGAGCGTTGGTCTTCTTGCGGAAAGAGCGCATTTGAAGGCTCACAACGACCGTGAAGATCGTGACGATAAGGCTGACCATGACCCAGACAACGACGAAGTAAGGGATGGTCATCTGGGAAGCTACCATAGTCAAACTGACAGTGATGGAGACAACCGTTTGAGTGACGAAGAAGAGAGTAAGGACGACGGACCCGACATAAATGTCATCATCGAGACTGATGCGCTGGTACCAAGTGGTGTCGGTCTCAAAATCCTTCTTTCGCTTGTCCTGACGGCGTCGAAGGATCTGAAGATTGAGAAGCTGGGAGCTCTGGCAACGGCGGTACAAGACTTTGAAGGGTCTTTGTCCGTGCTTGGAAGGAACGGCCTTGCTTGATTGAGCATCCTGCTGAAGCTGCTCGACTAGGATGGGAACGTTGGCCAAGTTGCGACCGGTTAGGTTGCGTCCAGTCTCGTGAACAGAGAGGCCTTGAGGGTGAGACGCAAGCAAGCGGCCGTTGGGATGGTTGATCTGGAACTCGTCCAGGGACTCGGTGACACTGATCTCGACCGCTGGGTTGTAGTCGTCTCTAGGATGGTGGTCGAAGCGGCTGGAATTTCCAGTGAACCTTCGAACAATGGGCACCATAGTCGAGGTGCGAGGGGTCGCGTTCTGGAAAGGCCAGCGAGGAGATTTGGCTTTGCCGCTGAGAGGGTGCTGAGGCAAGATCATGCTCTTGCCTCGGACGGTGGGCGGAGTGTAGTTGAGGTCGATGACCCGATCAGACTCCTCCGAAGACATGGGAGAAGGAGGAATGGGCGTCGAGGGATTCATGGTAGGGTGAGGCGTATTATCCGGCTCGTCGGAAAGGTCTGAGATGTCATCGCTGGTGAGAGTCTTGATGATTCTCGGCTTGTTCGGCAGCTTGAATGAGGTGAATTCCTCAACGGAAGGGTAGGCCGCACCACGACTGGCGACCGCAGTCGTGGCAGAGCTGAACGAAGCCTGCGGCGGCAGCGACATTCTTGCTCGTGGATGTGAATGTTTTGTGACGATTCTTCAAAGTGAGGGTATTCGGAAAAAAGAGCTTGACGGAGAACGAGTGACAAAGAGGATGTTGTGGAAAGGAATGAATAGGCGAGAAGTTTGACAAACGAAAGGGAAAGCCGTGTGGCGATGGGGAAAAGAGAGTGCTGGCTTTGTGAGGAGGAAGATATTATTCCATATTGTTCTGGGTGGAAAGGTTGACGCGGTTCAAAAGTTGAAGACGCGTCTGCCTCCAGGCACCCACAACACCACGGGTCCGCGGTGAGCAAGTTTTTTCTCCCAGAGGGAAGGAGCGACCGGGCGACTTCTACAAATGAAGAAGGTGAAGTTATCGTCAGGAAAAGGAGCAGACAAGAAAGAGATGCCCGTGATTAAATCCTGCACCACATTGACTCAAGGTCAAACCACCCCAGGAATGTTGAGTTGCCATCAGCAATCATCCGCCATTCCAGGATCCCTGTTACAGTAACCCAATTCAATGTTTATTTTCATGTCTCAGATAGGTTTTTCGCATTTGGTCAACCTCAAATCGATCCGCTCAAACTTTATGATGCACATCATCTCCCAGACACGTGGTCAGGCAAGAAAGTGGGCAAAACATATGCAACTACGGGGTGATCAACAATCTGGGGAAATGACCTCGGGCCGTACAGAAACATCCGGCAATTGATGAGTCAAGTTCTTCGGAACTTGCGTGGTCTGATATCTGCAGTCTATTCGGTCTCTACGTCGTCCAAGGCTTGTAAGTCGTTGCCAAGAATGCTCCTTCCCCAGCGGACCCCAATAACAGGCCGAACGCGCCTGCCCATCGTTGAAGAAATACAGGAAATATTTACTGGTTTATACAAGCTCATGGAAAATTAGGGTTTCTGGCACACTTGTGACTCTGCCTGAATATCAAGGTAATCTCTCGGCTCCAAAGCAGATATCAGAGGCCAATTTTCCGGGTCTCTTTGAAATTCGCCGTAACATGGGATGCAAAAAGGAAAGTTTTGTGTGCCAATCGCGTACTCATTCTTGTAGCAAATTCTATATTCTACCCACCCTGTCAACGATCACTGCTCCAAGCACGCTCTCACTCTGGTGTTCCAGGCAACTTCGATAACTCCTCCTTGGTGTTGTAAGCCCCGTTTCTCTTCGACTCACGGATGACATCAAGACTTGAGTGCGTACTAGAACCAGAAGTCTCCGAGGCTTCTAGACCGTTCTCTTGCTGAACAGCTTCATTCGTGACAAAGTCTGGTCTGGGACGCTGCTCGCCCTCATAACGCACACCATTCACAAAACATCCCTCTGAGCCAGCATCCCCAACAGTGGTGGCATTGAAAGCGTCTCCCATTCTGGCAACCTCCAAGTCGTGCTTGAGTCCTCTTTTAGACCATTGGATCAGGATCACAGCCACTATGGCCCAGAGGACAACAATGCCGCTGATAGCGATCCAGGTGAACATAAAGGGGAGGTTCAGGGGAGGTTGAATGTCATCCTTGGCGAAATATATTCCGACTGAGAAAAACAGACTCGCCGAAAAGGCTGCAAGGATGCCAACTGCTTTATGCATGGAGAAAGCCTTGGCCCTAGCGCGGTATAATGGGTGCTCCTCGTTGTCACCATGGGTTCGCAACTGGTAAAGGTACAGCGCAGACTCGATCTTCTCCCAGAATGTCTTGATTGGCGGCAGTTCTCCATCCTCGGTTAGCTGCCTACCTCGGTCAGTTACATGATCAGTACCTACATCCTCATGGGTACGGAGGTGCTCTGAGTTCTGGTGATGGGGATGTTCTGTGAGCTGTTGTCCATTTTCGGCGTCCACCATGTGGATAGGCAAGCCGTCCTGGATAGCGCCGCTGCAGTATGGGTTTTCGGCGGTAATCTCTGCCTCCTGAGCGCTTGCGGTATCAGGATTTGGGGTATTCTGATTGGTCGAAGAGTCGTCTTTCTCTTTGTTGTACTTCTCGACAAGGCGCAGCGGTCGGGGTCCTTTGGTAGACACTGGCTGCTCATTCTGTTGAGAACTGGCCCATTCAGGCTTCTTCGGGGCGTTCTTAGCTTGCACCGCTCTGAGTTGATCCTTCAGGGCGGTGGTGGCAATGTTGCTTTCGAAATATGAGTCAGTCATTGTGATGCGGTTGGGAACACTGAAAATATGTTAATTGTTGGATTGATTTGTATGTTAGTTGTCGAATTGGTTTGTAAGCGTAATGTGAGTTGAGAAGCCAGGTTACAAAGTTGGCAGCTTCGAGCTTGTTAAATGCCGCATCCTCATTGCGAGTCTTTGTCTCGAACAAAGTCTTGTCCTAACTGAATGTCGTTTGTTATTGAATGACTTGGCGGCACTGCCTTTTGTTCATGAAGGCATGTCACAATGGGCAGTTGACACAAAGTGGACGGTTTCGTGCCAAGAGAAAGCGTTTGGGTATGAACAGCCAAAACGAGAAACAGTAATCTGAGATAGATGTTGGTTCATCACAGCCAACGCTATTTCGGTACGGTCAAAGACTTCAATGGTAGTGGAGGGTGACGTCAAGGCTATGAGCATGGGCAACTAGCTGGTCATGCCAAAATACCTGTATTCTGTCGCCTCTCATGCCGTCCACCGCAACGAGACAAAGTTGAACGGGGTACGGACGAAGAGAAAAGAGCAAAAGGTACTTCAAGGGGATTGTCGACACAGAAGTATGTTCTGGTCTAACGAGTTTGTTGCTAGCTACTCTGCCGCTACAGGAGTTTGTGCCCCCAAAGCACGTTAGAGAACCAGCCAGGTCGAGCTCCCATGCAAAGCTGGAATGAGACCGCCAAGCTACCGACGCCCTTATTGTACTTCTAAAACAAGCTTCCATAGTAGCAGGCCTTGCCACTCAACATCCAACACCTTGCAAAGCTTCGAGCATGACCTTAATATAAGATTTGACGAAATGTTTTGGGCTCTACTGGAATCTGTCAGAGACTACAATCCGCATCAAGTTATATCAGCGTGCCAGAGTCCACGAACAAGCAATAGAAGAACGGTAATTGTGTCATTAAACCAAGAGAGGTAGACGTCGGTAACCAGCCTATGTCGAGAACTAGACAAAGGAGATGACAAGCCTGCCGGGGGTGGAAGAAGAAGCGATGCTTTGCAAAGCGCCCACAATCGTACTGTCCACGAAGCTGGAACCTCCGCCACCACCGGCTGGCATACGCTGGACTGTTGAATCTATTCCGTAGTAACCAGTGGCGCCACTACCTCCACCGCGGTAACCGCCGCCGCCCGCGCCAGAACCATCATTGAAAGAGCCGCCCGCGCCGGCGATACCATTTGCACCCACAGATCCGCTGCCGGCATTTCCGTTCGCCGAGGTTCCCGAGCCGGTCCATACACCGCCAGCACCGGGAGCAATCTGAGAACCGGGAGATCCGCCGTTGGAGGTTGATGTTACGGCACCGGTACTTGCCAGCGTGATATTGTAAGAGGTACCCTTGTCTCCGACGTTACTGGTACCGCCAGCTCTGTTGTAGTTCAACGTGAAAGCTCCTTGACCATTGTTTGAGACCGGGATGGTACCACCACCACCTCCGCCAGCGACCACAAGGAGGTTCTGATCAAGATAGAGAGCGGAAGCGCCGCCACCTCCACCACCATTATTGGAGGCAGATCCACCGTTGCCATACTGACTCTGACCAGCACCACCAACGGCACCGACTCTTGTGCCCGCGCCGCCAGCGACCAGGAGAACAGTTTGGCCCGGCACAACAGAGATAGAGCCATTGATCGAGGCACCACCACCGCCGCCACCACCGCCGCCGCCGAGAACGGAGAACTGCATGAGAGTGGCGCAGGCGGGCACGGCCACTTGGGCTGTGGCACCTGCGGGACTGGCTCCTGATACTGTGCTCGTCAAAGAGACCACACAGGAAGTCGAAGACGATGTACTAGAAGTTGTCACGTCTGTCGAGCTCGTGGATGTGGTTGACACGCTAGGAGGAGCTGTTGCAATAGTTACTACAGTGGTCGTGCCGGCCGGATCCGTCTGAGGCAAGGTAGTGACGCCGGTCTGGGTTCCCGTTGATACGACTGTGGTGATGAAGCCTGTAATCGGGGGTACAAACGAGATCACAGTCGTTGTGCCGGCCAGGTTCGTCTGAGGCAAGGTGGTTAAGCCAGTCTGGGTTCCCGTGGAGACCACCGTCGTCAGAACGCCCGTGGTGATGAGGATGGAAGGGTCCGCCGCATACACGCAACGAGCTCCATCATTGACAGACGAAACGGGACCATCAGTGACCAAAGTCGGCTGACCAGAGTTGATGTCGAAATTGTAAATATTTCCACTGACGTTTTCGGAGCCGTAAAACGTGTTGCCGCTCGAAGCATAAAGCGCTCCAAACGTTTCGTTACCCGAGATCCGCGTGTACGTCCGTACAATTGACCACGTGTGAGTCGTTCGACTCCATCTGGCTAATGAAAATTGACCGTTGGCATTGACTCCTGTGATACTGTACAGGTAGTCTCCGCCTCCAGGTACATAAACCCAGTCAGACACTCCGTTGGCGATGGTGCTGGTGCCGGTTGCAACCACTTGTGTGAACGTCGCCGAGTTCGGGTTCATGTCGATTTGTGCCCAAACCCCGCCACTTATGCTGATATAATACCGTCCGAGCGTATCAATCTCGCCAACATTGTAGTTTCCAGTCGGAAGATCTCCACCGATGAGAACCGCTTGACCGTTGCTTGCAATGCGCACAATGCGGTTCACGCCGTTCACGGGGACAATGCCATAAATGTAGTTGTCCAAGACATTGTACCCAATAGCGTTAATATTGCCACCAGGCCCAACATTGGTACCGACAGTGGTCTGAACCCCGGTGGTAAGATTCAACCGGTAGAGAGTGGTACCCTGTATCAAATAGCCACCAGCGTCGCAGTTGTAAGTTGGCCCAGGGGCAATTGTGGTTGTGGTCGAACTGCTGCTGCTAGTAGAGCTAATGGTGCTAGTTGCGCTAGGTGTCACGAAGGTGATGACACTCGTCGTTCCTGCCGGGTCGGTTGGAATAATTGTGGTGGCTCCCGTCTGTGTGCCTGTCAATGTCAGGGTTGTGAGGAAGCCCGTAATAGGAGGGACGAAGGTGATGACACTTGTGGTTCCTGCCGGGTCGGTTGGAATGATCGTAGTGGCTCCTGTTTGCGTGGCCGTCGAAGTCAGAGTTGTGAGGAAGCCCGTGATTGGAGGGACAAAAGTGATAACACTGGTAGTTCCAGCAGGGTCGGTGGGGACAATAGTAGTAGCTCCCGTCTGTGTGCCCGTGGAATTTAGAGTAGTGAGGAAGCCCGTGATAGGAGGGACGAAGGTAATAACGCTCGTGGTTCCAGCTGGGTCGGTCGGAACAATAGTAGTAGCTCCAGTCTGCGTACCCGTTGACGTTAGGGTGGTTAAAAAGCCCGTGATGGGAACAAATGTGATAACGCTCGTGGTTCCAGCCGGATCGGTTGGAATGATTGTAGTGACGCCGGTACGTGTGGCCGAAGACGTGAGCGTTGTGAGAAATCCTGTAGGGGGCTGAACAAAAGTAATGACGCTAGTAGTTCCGCCAGGATCCGTGGGAAGAATAGTAGTGACTCCAGTCTGGGTAGCCGTAGAAGTGCGCGTCACGATGAAGCCTTGACGCAGGGCAAAAGTGATAACTGTAGTAGGGCCGCCGGCCGTGCCGGGAGGGAGAGTCGTCAGCCCGGTAGTGGTCCCCGTTGACACGATAGTCACCGGCGGGAGCGGAGCACTGGGAGTGACAAAAGTGACGACAGTTGACGCGCCACCGCTAGGACCAGGAGGCAGTGTCGTCAAACCGGTGACGCTTCCGGTCGAAGTCACAGTGACGGGCGCGAGAGGCGCAGGAGGGGTCACGAAAGTGACAACCGTGCTTGGTCCTCCACTGGGGCCTGGAGGAAAGGTCGTAATGCCAGTGACGCTTCCAGTCGAAGTAAGTGTGACCGGCACGAGGGGAGTCACAAAGGTGACAACAGTCGAGGGACCGCCGCTAGGACCTGGAGGCAGAGTAGTCAAGCCGGTAGTGCTTCCGATTGAAGTGATTGTGACCGGCACGAGCGGAGTTACAAAAGTGACAACAGTGTTGGGGCCTCCTGGACCTCCCGGAATAGTGGTCAACCCAGTGGTGCTGGCCGTGGACGTCAGAGTGATAGGTACTGGGCTAGTCACAATTGTCACAATCGTAGTCGGGTCGCCTGGTCTGCCAGGAGTCTGGGTGATCAGTCCTGTAGATGAACCGGTGGAGGTGACGGTGACGAAGGGAGGGCCGGTCACAAAGGTCAGAACGGTTGTCGGGTCTCCGGGCCTGCCAGGAGTCAAGGTTGTCAGACCGGTAGTTGACCCCGTTTGCGTGAGAGTAAGACGAGGAATCGGGGTCGGAATGAGAGTGATGACAGTGGTGGGATCCCCGGGTCGGCCGGGAGTTTGAGTGAGGAGGCCAGTGACTGAGCCAGTCGTGGAGGTTAAAGTAACAACGCTTCCACTTGGACTTGGGATAATAGTAATGACTGTAGTCGGGTCGCCAGGTCTTCCGGGAGTCTGGGTAATGAGGCCAGTTCCGGTCCCTGTGGATGTGATTGTGGTAATGCCACCAGAGGGGCTAGGGACCACTGTGACGACCGTCGTGGGGTCTCCAGGCCTGCTAGGTGTCTGGGTGAACAGGCCAGTGGTAGATCCAGTTGATGTCACAGTAAGAATGCTTCCGCTTGGGCTCGGGACGACAGTGATGACTGTAGTCGGGTCGCCGGGTCTTCCAGGAGTTTGAGTAAAGAGCCCGGTTCCTGTTCCTGTGGAAGTTATCGTTGTCACACTACCAGAGGGACTCGGAACTATAGTAACGATTGTCGTTGGGTCTTCGGGCCTGCTTGGCGTCTGAGTGATGAGACCTGTACCAGTGCCGGTCGAGGTCACGATTACTTGTCTGCCGGGAGGAGGCGTCACGAACGTAACCACAGTAGTCGGGTCTCCTGGGCGACCAGGCGTGAGGGTTGTTACGCCAGTTTGGGTGCCAGTCGAGGTGAGAGTTGTCAAGCCTCCTGTGGGGGGTACGATGGTGACCACTGTGGTTGGATCTCCAGGCTGTCCAGGCGGGAAAGTAAGGAGACCAGTTTGACCAGGCAGAGTACCGGTAGACGTAGAGGTAATGATACCTCCGGTAGGTGGTGGTACAATAGTCACTACTGTAGTAGGGTCTCCAGGATTTGCGGGCGGTATTGTGAACAATCCAGTCTGCCCAGGCGTGGTTCCCGTGGAAGTCGATGTGACAATGCCACCAGTAGAAGGGGGAACGATGGTAACAACGGTTGTCGGATCACCTGGCTTACCAGGTTGAAGGGTCAGCAAGCCAGTCTGTCCAGGCGTAGTCCCGGTGGAGGTCGACGTAACAATGCTATTGAAGAGAGGAGAGGGAGGCACGATAGTCACGACGGTTGTCGGATCGCCTGGCTTGCCAGGTTGGAGGGTCAACAAGCCAGTCTGCCCAGGTGCGGTCCCAGTCGAAGTAGAGGTCACCACGCCTCCTGTGGGGGGTGGTACGACTGTAATGATTGTGGTGGGGTCACCCGGCTTTCCAGGAGGGAGAGTGATCAAGCCAGTCTGCCCTGGGGCTGTACCGGTCGAGGTGGATGTCACGACACCATCGCTGGCAGGAGGCACAATCGTAATGATTGTCGTCGGATCTCCAGGCTGACCAGGGGGGATAGTGATCAGCCCGGTTTGTCCAGGTCGAGTACCAGTCGACGTTTGTGTCACTTGGCCTCCCGTTTGTGGCGGCACGAAGACAATCTGAGTACCAGTGCTATCACCTCCTGAGGGAGGTAAAGCCAGGGTAGTGAGGACCGTGCCAGGAGCTGTTATCGTTGTATAGGGACCATTGAAGAGAGGATTTCCCGTATTAGGGGTAGGCTTGAGGACAAGGATGGTTCCTGTAGAATCACCGCTGCCCGGGGGTATCGTCAAGGTTGTCAAGGTTGAACCTGGGTAGGGGGCTGTGACTGATGTGAAGCGTTCCCCATTGGGAGAGTCTGAACCTGGTAGCCAGGGCTTGTTGGACTCGAGAGGAGAGCAGATGTACTTTGTGCCAGTGGCTTGACCACTTTGCGGGGGAATAATGATGGTAGTCGGCTGGGATCCTGCAGGAACATTCGCAGTAATCGTGACACAAGGACCGCTGTAAGGAGAAACGGTATTTCTGAAGAAGCGCATGTTAGCATTACTCAAAATTCCTTGAAGTGCAAGCACCATCAATCAAAGACTTTGCCGTCATTGGCACACTTACACAGCAGAGCTGTAGGTTACAGTAGTCGTGGTAAGGAAGTCGGAAACAACAGCAGTTGGAGCATTCGTGATCGTGACGGCTGTACCAGCGATGGTAAAAACAGTATTAGAACTGATAGAGGTGCTGAGATGAAGCGGGATGCAATGAACGATCTCGATGGGCTGAATAGCGGTTGTAGTAGACCCGGTGGTGGGACATTCCGCGCTTGCCGAGCCAGGCCTTGGGAGAATGGCCATGAGGCCTATCAGCGAGGTGTGGAGCGAAGCACGCCTCATCTTGCCGGTGATGTTTTCGAATAAATATTTGGGACGTGATAAAAGATTGTAGGCATTAAAGTCGAGTAAAAGGCTTCGTAAAAGAAGGCTTGAGGTTGTGTCGTGGATCCAATCCATGGGGAGTTGGCCACAGCTTATATCCCAAGATTTCTAGAGCTCTCGGTCTTTACATGGCACAGTCTTCCACAATGTTACGATCATACAGACCAAAGGCTGCTTCTCTTGGACTCCATACATGGTGTCTTTGGTATTTGGTGGCTCCAATAATTCATCGCCAATCCTAAACCAGCGTGCTTGTTGAATGGGCCAGCCGGAAAAGCTCAAAGTCTCCGCAAATATGACTCCTGTCACGGCTACTCTGAAATTCGCAGATTCTTTTGGTCGGCCTTCTATCACAACTTCACGATTTGCCAAAATGTTTCGCCATCGTTTGCGTGTAGCTTCCATACGAAGCTTGGTATCTGCAATAAGTTGCTGTCGAGGCATCCGGTGACAGACCATCCTCAATCCGGGAGATCTCCATCTGAGTGAGTATGTGACTAGATCATGGGAGTGGATGCTGTGCTGGCGGAAAGGTCATTGATGATGGCCGTAAAGAACTTTTGCGAGCTGCTTCCCAGACGCAGTCCATGCGGGGAGCAAACATCAACAAAGTATCATAGTTGAAGAATGCATGTATATTTCTCCCCGGGGGGAAAATGTTTCGGTGAGCTGTTTAGAAGATAGGTACATCGCCATGGACCACTGTATACATCAGGGACCACTCATCGAAGATTTCTGTTTGCGTGTTTGTTCAGCGGCGGTAAGGCTGATGCCATGACTTAGGTCTGAGGCAAGGTGAGTAAAGCTAAACAACTTGACTGCTGCTCGAGGCTATCCAGTAATATACATCTATCCATAGTTCAGTCCCAAGACAGTCAACCACGTGCAAGTGGAGGACACACCAGGTCGATGTGATTCTGAATCTTTGGCAAACACAGTTACCGTCTCAATCTAGCCATTGTATCTTTTCGATTTAAGACAAGAATCTTACCACCAGGGGCAGAACAGCTGTTTGCCGAAGCTGACACGCTGACTACGGAGGACTGCAAGCAGGCTACTAACAGAGCCCAAAATATGACTAAATAGACGCGCGAATAAGACCCGCTTCTTCACCTGAACCCTATCTGCACATGGATAAGCTCAACGCAAGCATGATCTGAACAGTATAGGCTATGCCGGTAATAAACTAGGGGTCTTGTTTTCCGAATCTGTCCCAAATGCGATGTTGCTGAGTAACTTCCCTCATGACTTACTGATGAATATAAGATGGCGATTGTTCATGAAGGGGAATTGCTTTTCTGCTTCAACGACTCCGTCCCTTAGGCAACATCCGGCATTAAGATTCCCTTCAACCATTTTTGCCATTTCTCTTCGCACCCCCAATTTTGCCTCTCACAATGAGGTCCTACCAAATTTTGCCGCTTTTCCCAATCGCGCTTGCAGCAACCCCTGTCGTCGATCCACTCTTTGAGATGTGCGGAGTCTCCGTAACCCTCTCAGCGACGACCAATACTTTGCTACTACCACCGCAGACAATTTCTATCTGTGAGAACTCCAACTGCCCCATTCCTACATTCGCAAATGGAGGTTTTGCTCCTGCGTCGGCGCAACCCCAGGAGACCGGCGGCCAAAACCCTGGAGCCAATTCTCCTGCAGCCAATCCTGCTGCTCAGCCGCCTTCTGCCACCCAATCTCTTGGCGGGAATCCTCCCACGGTGCCACCTCCCGCCAATCCAGCTCCTGGAGGAGGCAATACATCTCCTGCAGGCTCTTCAGGAGGCTCAGGTGCCAAGTCTCCTGTCGCCACTGCTTCCTCTACAGTGAGCTCTGGCAAACCGACTGCCGTAACGACGTCGTCTGCGTCCCGAGCATTTGGTGCTCAATGGGATGAGTGTTTGGTCATGGGGCTTACCAGCTTGGCGGTTTTGGTGTCTCTCGGACTTGGGTTCTAATCTCCGACCCCCTTGAGTGACAGATTTTCGCTGCAAAGGGCTGAGGCTGAGATAATTTGCAGTTGAATCGTTGGACCGTGTGCTTCCTTAGTGATTTGAAATCTATACGCAGTCATTTTTTCATAGACCAAACCAAATACCTATCGTCAAAGACTATTCCAAGTCTGAATACCTCCTGAATGAAGGGCGTTGCCAAATATGATACTCCCCCTTGGTAGCATGCTGGAAGGGGAAATGGTTTGCAATAATACATAGAGGTACACAACCGAAGTTTCAGGTCTCGAGATGCCTTCTTGGGAAGCATCAAGTGGGAATTCTTTGACACAAAAACTTGATATGTAGAAATTCCTCAAACATGCCCGTTGCGGGTCCGCTGTTTGCCACTGTTCCAAGGGTTCAGTGCTCATATGGTAATGGAGAGTTGAGATAAGGTCAAGAGAGAGGGACGTTGAGGTGGAAGTATGCCGGAAAAGGGAAGGTGTCTTTTGAACCCTTGGGCCGATCTCTCGGGCCTACGCACGCTGATGACCATGACATCGGGCCGCAGCTACACTAGGCTACTCCCATCCACCCCACTCCACTCCACTCACTCGCTTTTGTCGTTTCTGAGGAGACGGATGCGGAATGAGGGGCTCCTCCACTTTTTGATCCTAGGTACCTATGTTGTCCCACTTAAGGGCATCGCAACCTTCCCATATTTCGTGAGCACAAACCGGCAAAAACGTTCAGCTCACTGTCAAAGCGCTTAGTTAGCTCTACATGTAAAAAACGCCTCTTTTCATGAGTTTCACTACCCGGGAGATGCCTTCCAGCTATCCGGGAGGTGCAGCCACCCCATGCGGCTCTCCATTTATGGAATCGCTGAACTTGCCGGGCCTATGTCTCCGGCCGCCCTAGACCTCTCATCACAGCCCTCGATAATCAATCACTCTATTATCAATCGATACATTATACAAGTTAGTTGAGGTATAAGCAATTACGACCGCGGGCGTTGGCTGCAGGCCCGGCTTTCATTAGTAATGAGTAGAATTAGATGAGTATACTACCCGGATAGTGAAACTCCTCTTCGTCACTCCTGCAGCCCGATCTCGGTGATAAATCACCTGAATCTCGGAGTCCTTCTAACAGGGCCTCAGGGCGAACTCGGAGCCGAAGAGAAGGAGTGCAGACCCGGACCCCTGGTGATCGGATTCAATAAGCGTGCGAGAAAGAAGCAGAAGGTTGCACAAAGTTTCTGTGGTTGCACAAGAAACTGTCTCGAAGGATTCCAATGTCGGTGGAGAGTGGTTTGGAATGCAAGAATTCTTAGCTCCAGACAATGGCATGTCGATGTTCTTCAGTGCCAAGATGGTGGGCGGCTGCGTGGCGTGATGCGAACGGCCGGGTGGCGACTGCTAGGATTGCCAGGGACAGAAGTTGATCGACACTCTCAAGGGCCATGACACGTTGAACGCTGCTGACTTTGTCCGCATTGAGAACCTAGCAATACGAGGCTTGATATGCAAAACTCTGGAAACGCTAGCCTCGCGTCCGGCGAGTTATGCCTTTCTCAGTGCCAACAAGTCGCTGATCTCTGCTAATGTTTGAGATTTCTTGGGACTTTGACCCTAAATAGAGGCTGATATTGCCAAAAGCTCTTTGAGACAGCAGGAGCACGAGCTAGCGCAAACCTGAGTTTCTTGAGCTTTTATACGTACGGTAAATAACTTTCTTCTCTCCCTGCATCCAAATGCGGTCAAGGGAGAGGGGAAAAGGGGGCAAAAGTAAAGAGTGCAGGGCTGATGCGTTGATGCGGACAAAATTAGCAATTGGCACACCTGCTAATGGAGATATATGCCAAGCCTGATGTTTCCCACAAAAGCCAACTTCAGGCGGCTAGGAGACTCCGCCTTGTATGGATGGCTCGGATGTATTGAATTAGTCGAAATCGGACTCGAATGTCCGGCTGGCAACAGGGGGCACCCGGCATGTCGGGTAATTGATCACGCTAGAACAGAGAGTTCGTTGCCTTACAGGAACATCCTCGAGTTCGATTTGGGATTCTCCTGTGCTTCTGAGGCGATATGTCAAGTCACACGCCGTTCAGGCAGGGCTGGAGTCTCGCCACCTGGTGCCCATGGTCTTCCTTGTAATAGCTGAGGTCCGTGTAACTTGTGATATCTGTACAGCTCAATAATCCCTAGAGGGAGGCCCTCATCGTAAGTTGACACCAGACATATCTGACAGAATCGCAAAGCGATTAGATAGGAGGCCATCTCAGCGCCCATAGTTGACCCTGGCTCCTGGTCCACTCGAGAAAGGAGCGGGAAAGAGCTCCAGATAATCATGGGTCTCACAGTGCTGTGAATTCTATGCCGTGGAATCCCAGAAGATTATTTGATTTTATCTGACCCCTACCTTGGGGCGAGGGAGCTTGCCCCACATGTGTGATGCCGCCCAGCACGGGCTCTACTTACATGTTGGCATTCGGATCAGGTGCAGTTCTTCGCGACCATCTGGAACAATCTCACCTTTCTCACTTCAATGACTGGCCGTAGACATGCTGACCAAAGTTTCATAGAGTCGAATCACGTTTGATACGAACATTCCTCTCGCAATGCATGGAAGCACTGTGCCGGTAGCGCGACTACTTTATTTCGAACTAAGGCTATACCGGGCGGCCGCCAATCTTGAAGCTAGTCAACCAGCCAAGATAAGGCAGGGAGGGGGTGCGATGGAGATGCCGATGGTGGAATCGAGTCGCTTGTGTATACTTCGCCACGAGTGCCTTGCAACCATCCGTGAGTACCAGCGTCTCCGTACATCCGGAAGATCAAATCCAGCCTAGATCGGGGCACTGAGTCTTCCTTTATGAATCGTAAGCTCAGATTGCCGAAAGTCCTGGTGTGCCCCCGCATCTCAGTTGGTTTCGAGCTTATGGCTCGTATGTTATCTCAGCCCGAATTCTGAGTGAGCTACTATGAAATTTTGCGGAGACTCATTCTACTCATACCAGGTCTGGCAAAG